CCAAAACAGTACCATTTTCTAACCTGATGGGGTAACTTTCTGAGGATTTTGGTTAAAATTTTAATATAAAATATTTAGAGGGGATATTTATGACTTTGATACATTTCTTGTTCCTGATACCAAACTGGTACAGCGAATGAGGTCTACACCATAGTTTCAGAGACATAGTTTATTAGTTGAATGTTCAAGTTCTTTGCTTTTCCCTAACAGAGTAAAAAGGTCACTTTCTAGCTTTCAAGGGATTCAGTGGTTCAATATCTGAATATGAATGGGATGGTACTGGCCTCTTCTGGCAAATAACAAGCACCCCGAGAAAGCTGTCCATGGATTCCTGTTGTCAAATGGTTCTAACAACATATATCTCAAATACTTTTAACAGTTAGAAGCCTATTTCTTCCAATAAGTCCTTGCCACTCTGAAACAGTAAGTAAATTCTACTCAATGTATTAAACATTATGCTCATTTATTTTATGGTTACTCAAAACGGAAAGGTAATTCTAATTTTAAAAAATGCATACTGATTTTTTAATAGCCTTGTAACCATTGCTAACATTTTGAAGAATATGTCATTGTCTTCCATTTTACAACCTCTTAGACTCCATGAACAGTTTTTCTGAGTTGATCTGAAAACATATTATGTAAGAATTACCGAAATTGATAGCCCTAAGCAGTGATCCCCAACCCTGGGGAATAGCAGAATCATTTAAGGACTGTACTAGTTTCTTAATGCTGCTGTAAGGAATTACCATAATTCGATGGCTTAAACCAACAGAAACTTATTTTCTTACAGTTCTGGAAGTCAGGACTCCAAACTGAGTCTTATAAAGCTAAAATGAGGCATTAGTAGAACTGGTTCCTTCTACAGGTTCCCGGGCTGTAGCTGTTGCTTGCCTCTCTGAGCTTCCGGTGACTGTCAGCATTCCCTGGCTAGTAGCTGCATCCTCCAATCTCTGCCCTCGAGGTCACATTGCCTTGTCCCCTTCCTTACGCTAATCTCCTTACACTCAGGAGCTTAATTTAATCACATCTCAAAGATCCTTATTTTAATCACATCTCAAAGTCCCTTTTGCCATAAAGATAACATTCACAGTTTCCAGGAATTAAGACCTGCATTTCTTTAGGGACCATTATTCAGCCTACTACAAGGGCTTTTCCAAATGGCATTAAACCCTGGAGACCCTTAACTGTCCTGCCCTTTCCCTTCAGGGAGAATCACCACCATTGGAAATCTTAACCACTACTGCTCTGAGAGCTTCCCATTATTTAGGGTAGGGAAAAAAAAAATGAGAACCACTGTCTAAAATGTAAGTAACACTGTTATTTTTGAGTTATTGATTAGACATCTGTGAAATTTTAATCTCTGAACAATGAACAAATCATTTCGTAAGATATACATAAGGGGCGTCTGGGTCACTCAGTAGGTTAAGTGTCTGCCTTCGGCTCAGGTCATGATCCCAGGGTCCTGGGATGGAGCCCCACGTCAGGCTCCCTGCTCAGTAGAAAACCTGCTTCTCCCTCTCCTTCTGCCTGCTGCTCTCTTTACTTGTGCTCTCTCTAGCTCTCTGTCAAATAAATAAATAAAATCTTTTAAAAAAAGATATTTACATAAAACATTAAATGAATGAATAAGAATGTGTGAAAAATATTAGGGCCTCTGTTCAGGGCTTTATTTCCAGACTTTCTATCTTTATAAGAGCTCCTAAGCATAGGATTTCCAAGGAGGTGGGTGGCTGACATCATCTAAATGTGCCTGAGAACAGACATTTTAAGCTATTTCATCATTTTTCAGTTGAAAGATGGGATTTAAATGTTTGCCACTAGTACTTTAAAAACACTCACACAAAACAAAATTTATTACAACACCAAGCTGAAACAAATTTCCTGTTAGAAAGTAATATTACTGGTAACAATATAGTCAAAGTTAAATTGATCCCTAATAATTTAACTACTAAGAATTATTTAGCAAACTACATTCTAAGTGCAGCATTGTGCAAACATATTCTCTAAAAAGAACAAAATAAAACAAATATCCTGCCATTGCAATATAACACCCTCTGACACTTGAGATTTTTTCACAAGGCTGTGGTCCCTTTGTCCCTTTTTTTCACATCACCTCTTCGTTTTTCTCTAGCTCACTTAGCTTCCATCTTCTATTCCTATCTACTTTGTTAGCTATCCTTTGCTTTGGCCATCTCTAAGGTGCATTATCTGTCACTGGCTTTCCATTTCAACTGATGGAAGCTCAGCTGGATACAAACTTAATCCCCACCAGGACCAGACCTGGGCAGATACTGCTGTGAAGCAAGCAAAGCTTCTTTCAGGGGATTATACTGATCAAATCTCTCCAGTGGCTTCTCATCATCCCTGGAGTGAGTTCAAACTTCCTAAAAGACAGAGGAAGCCTCCTTAATGGGATTCCTGTCTAAACCCCACACCATCTTTCGCTGTTCCCTTTCACTGGCACGCTGGGTAAGCCTCAGCCTAGTGCTTCCCAAAACATGCCGGAATAACTCAATATAATTCCACACACACTTCATCTGAAATGTCCCTCATCAACTGTAAACATCTTATTCATTACTCAAAACTCAGTTTGGAGTCATCAGCCCAGTAAGTTTTGTCTGAGACAATCCCGTAACTCTGCCAAATCCCTCCCTCTTATGTTTTTACTGTACTTTACAAATGTTGCTGTTGGGGCACTTATGCCCCTCCAAGTATACTTTGCCCACATTTCTGTGCTTCCATATTAAAACGTGAGTTTCCATATCATATTATAGTCATTTTTGTACCCCCCAGTTCCTAATAGAGTACTGACACAGATTGCCAAGGGCTAAATACAGAATTTTGCCTCTACCCTGCTTTTAAAGCTACCTTAGAAAACATTTGCTACGATTCATTTATACCTAAGTATAAATGTAAGTTCATACTCAGGGCTAGCTGCCCTTTAATCTATAGTTCTAAATGTCAAATACAGGTAGGTGTCTTTATTAAGTAAGTTTCAGAAATTAGTAAGCATTCATAATGTTTGTAAGGATAGGAAGCCCTCCTGACATCCTGACAAGACACCTTAAAGGCATCCCTCTATGCTTTGCATAAAGAAATATACTCTGTGATTCACGATCTGCAGTCTCAGAGTTGTAAATGAACCTATTCTTACCACCTGGAGATTGAGTCCTCTCCGTAACATCCAAAATGGTGGTCAAGATCTGTACTTGAGCACATTTAGCAATGCCCCAGAGAAGCCTATTTTAGTTTTCACATACATCTAAAAAATCATATACTTTGACACTTTTGAGCCCTCCGATCAGTAATAAATGAAACTGCCAAGTAATGAAGGAAATCCACGTCAAAATTTAAATTAAAAAAAACCAAGGAGCACGAATCATATTAGGGAACTTTTTTGCTTTTTAATTTGAGACTCAAGAATGCAAGCCACCCTAAAATAACCATATTAGGATAATCAAGATTACAACAGGAAACCGTTTGAGCATAAATTGCTACGGCAGGAAACTGATTAGTTCAGCAAAGAGACAGGATGCTTCTTGTCTCTACCGTTGTCTGAGTTAATTCTGTGCCTCCTCCATAGACCAACTGTTCTGAGATAAAGGATTATAAAGTGGACTCATGAAAGCAGACTAAAGTACAATTAATAATAAATGCAGGAGTAATGCAGACTAGTGCCTGAAGTTACGAGGAAACTGAAATGAGTCAGCAAAGGTGAGGGAGAAAAAAGGCAGTCTAGTAATATCATGTACAACACCGCTGCGATCTACAGAATATAAAGTTCTACATAACGTGCCAATAATAAAAGGAATGCTATCAAACTAAGGAGGAGGTATGCTTTGAATGACTGCTTCTTCAGGATACTCTTTTCTATGAAACCTGAACAGTCCAAACTGGATTGCTTGAAATGTGCTGAACTCTACTACCCAACAGTCCACCCTGTGGAAGACAGAATAATGGCCCCCCAAAGATGTCCCTAGAACTATAAATAATTTCATTACATAGCAAAAGGGACTTTGCAGATTGAGAGAGTTAAGGATCTTGAGAGGGTAGAGTATCCCGGATTATCCAGGTGGGTCCAATTTCTTTACAAAGTTCCTTAACTTTGGAGGTCCTCTCCCAGCTGCATAGAGGGTCAGAGGGAGATGTAACTACAGAAGAATGGTCAAGGAGATGCAATGTTGCTGGCTTTGAAGATGGAGGGAGGGGTCCACAAGGCAAGGGATGTGTGTGTCCTCTGGAAGCTGGAAAAGCCAAGGGAACAGATTCCCCTCCAGAGCATTAAAGAGGAATGTATCTCTGCCAATACCTTTTAGCCCAGTGTAGTCCAGTGAGACCCATCTTGTATCTGTGATTAAATGACTGTTAGATAATAAATTTGTGTTGCTTTAAGCCACCAAATATGAAGCAATTTGTTACAGTAGCAATAGAAAGGGAATAGAAACCTGTATTCTTTCAACGGTTTTACTCAAACATGAAAAATAACACAAACAAACCAACTGTCATAACTTCAAAACTGCCAATTTGACAGACACCCTAACATTTGCACATGACTTATCTCTAAAATATTTTTCAGAGAGGCAAACAGAGAAGGTCCTGAAATAGATTTTACAGAGGTAATGAAGGATTCAATAAGTACTGGCAAGAAAACCTGACAGACTATCAACTTCACCCATGAACCCAACTGAAAATATCATTCAACTTACTTGAAACTCTTTTGTACTGCAGTAGAAAACCCTTTATCCCTACTACCTCTCCCACTTTCCTCTTTCCTTCTCCCTCCAAACTTGATTTTGAACTGTGTTTTAGATGCAGTTTGATAATAAACATTTATTGGCATGCATGTTTTCTAGAATTTATTGTAGTAATAAAAACTATTAAAATTCAATTTGCTAACTGAAACTCTGCTGTTGTTGGACACTGGCATTGATTCACATTTCGGGCCTTACTTCACATCTCACTGCTTTACAAGAGTAGAGTTGCAAATCCTCCTTACTCACCACTTTGCAGCAAAGGGGCCAAAACCACCACATCAAACCAATGCCCAGTAGTAGCAGTAACACCAAAATCGCAATGATGGCTGCAGTCCCACTAGACTAGAAGATGTAGAAGACAAAAAACAAAGTGGTCAGTAAAGCATAGGGTTAAATCCCAAATACATATTTTTTTAAGGAAACACCAGAAAATGATGCAGAAAGCAGAACCAATGTCAAATCAGATTTTCATTTTATTCCTCTAAATTCTGTAAATTCCTTTATATTCTACTTCATACATGTTATTTTAAAACAGGCAATAATAAATATGAAATCTTCCAAAGTGCTATGAACAGTTTTAAATGATGCCCTAAAAGAATGTAAGAAAAATCACTATCTGGGGTTATACGAAAGGATCCGTATGGTCCCTATCATTTGTCTCTGGGAAAGAGTTATTTTGATCACAAGCATGATTACTTCTAGGCAAAACTTACGCAGCATTTTCCCAGACTTTTTGATGATTGAACACTATTTGCATTATATATTTAAATGATAGGGCAAGATGAATATCAAAATTCACCAAGCAAGTGAGAAACCAAGAACAATGGTTCTTTTTTTTTTTTAATTTTTTAAAAGATTTTATTTATTAATTTGAGAGAGAGAGAGCTAGCAAGAGAGAGCACAAGCAGGGGGGTGGGGAGAGGGAGAGGGAGAAGCAGAACCCCGCTGAGCAGGGAGCCTAATGTGGGGGTCAATCCTAGGATCCCGGGATCATGACCTGAGCCAAAGGCAGACGCTTAATGGACTGAGCTACCCAGGTGCCCGAACAGCAATGGTTCTTGTTGGCAAATCGTACATTGCATCAATTCAAGAAAGCAACCTCATGCATTCACATATCAGATTTCTCACTGAAGCTCAAGCACTACCCACACAAGAACCACACTGGTGTCCTCTCACTTCCTGACACCAAGCTCCTCCAGCCCTAAGGAATCTGCTCTGGGCTCTGACTCCAATCCCCTTCCTGTAACCACCACCTAGGCATCCTACATGGCTCACCTTAAGCCACTGCCCCAGGAAGCCTTCTTTGTACACTCTGGCTAGAAAATGCCCCTCTTTACTATACAATTCATAGTTCTCTATACTTTAATCTTTAGTACTTATCACAATTTATTTGTTGGTTTATTTCTGATAAACTGTGATTATTTCTTTAATTTCTCTTTTCTGTCACTATTTATTGTGAGCTCTAGAAAGTCATGGGGTTATGTCCAACCTACTTACAAATGTATACTCCATGCTTGGCATTTAAAATGATTTACTAAGAGAATGAACTCCAAAGAAATAAGACTGCAAAAGCCACAAATGCAAAGACTAGTATTTACTGAATTTTTAGTTTGGGGATAAAGTTCCCCAGGGGACAAGGTGTCTCTCCCAAACCCGACTCTCTGGTATACCCAGTAATAATGTTTTGTTTTGTGTGTGCATTTTTCTTTCTTTCTTTTTCTTTCTTTCTTTCTTTCTTTCTTTCTTTCTTTCTTTCTTTCTTTCTTTCTTCCTTTCTTTCTTTCCTTTTTTTTGTTTCTTCCTTTCTTTTAAGGGAAAGAATGCAGGGAAGAAAAAACAATAAAAAAATCAATATACTCTCCAGTAGAAATCTGGGACTTCAGGGGCAGTTTTTCAGAGATACATTTCCTGTCATTCAAAACAAGTAAGAAGTATAAGCCCAGGGGCGCCTGGGTGGCTCAGTCGGTTAAGTGTCTGACTTCAGCTCAGGTCATGATCTCAGAGTCCCAGGATGGAGCCCCACATCAGGCTCCCTGCTCAGTGGGGAGTCTGCTTCTACCTCTGCCCCTCCCCCTGTTCATGCTCTCTCTCTCTCAAATAAATAAGTAAATAAAATCTTTAAAAAAACAAAACATTAGTTTTTGAGATAATGTTCAATAATTGTTTTTAAATTTAAACAAAACAAAAACCAAAAAAAAAGTACAAGCCCAGAGGTCAGGGTAAGAGCGACTTTTTTCCCAAGAGCTGATAGAGAGAGGGGTGGCAAGGGGTGGATCCCCCAGGATCCATCTGAGAATGGCACTGTATTAAAAGTATTAGTCTAGAGGTTTAATTTTAAGCAAGTTGTTTAATTGCTTGGAGCCTCTGTTTTCTAATCCATAAAATAAGAGAGCCATTTGTCCCCACAGCAGGAAAATCTCTGTGGAAAAGCCATTACCGTGCTTACTCTCTTAGAAAATCACCGTGTGTATTAACATACTTAGAAAGCTCTGAGTGGCTTTGCGGTAAAGAAGTTCAACTTACCTCAGCACAGAACCATCTTTTTTCTCATAACAGTTTAAATACCCTGTAAATCTAGGATTCCCTAGAATCCACATTGAGAAATGTCTGGATTGGTCAAAGCTGAGAGACTTTCAGATGTTTAAGTGACAATGATAGTAGCATTCAGTCAGAACATTTTATAATGGAATTTAAAGTGCAATACGAGGCGCCTCTAGGCGCAGTTGGTTAAGGGTCCGACTCCCTTGGTTTCAGGCTCAGGTCATGACCTCAGGGTGGTGAGATCGAGCCCCACGTGGGGCTCCAAGCTCAGTGCACAGTCTGCTTAAGACTCTCTCTCCCTTTGCTCCTCCCCCCGAAATAAATAAATAAATCTTTAAAAAAAATAAATAAAATGCAATACATAATGACATATGCACAAAAAGAGGTAATAATCTTTATGTAAACAGTTACATGTAAACAACTGAGAACAGAAGAGAAGGTAGTTTTCAAAAGACATGGCAAGGAAGTGCTAGCAAAATATACTTGGTTCAGCTAATCAGAAAAATCTCGACATGTGTATCCTTTCCCCATATCATCTGTTATTATCACAGTGGAAGGGAAAAAAAAAAAAAAGACTAGCATAGAGCAGCGTGGAAACCATCCCCAAACAACTCCATTTTTACAGCTAGCGATTACTAGCAGCCTTTCAGTTTTAATAAATCTATTTTTAAAATAACTAATTCTTAGGGCAGCATAAACCATAAAACATTCATTACTTTCAGAAATTTTCAACAGAAGACTAAGAATCAACTACACATGAACAATTAAAGCTATCCTTTGATTTCTGATTTTGCATCTGAATAGAAGAGGAAACAAGCATACAAGGTATTTATATAGCTGATAGAAGGTTGCAAATGCACCAAAATTGGCACCACCAAAGTACCATCACTTAGAGTCTTGGATCTTTTTATTTATCTTATCTTTCAGAAGACAACAAGAATAACGATGGAAACTTCACATGCACAACTATCTTCACTGAGTTCTACCATTCACTATGTGACCATTCTTAAGGCACTAGAAGAGGCTATGACATGATATTCACCATAAAGAATTAACTTAAAATAGAAGAAATAAAAAGACATGGATTCATGCAGCAACTTCCTGTTGTGGAGTTTGGTAGAATAAAAATGTGAGCTCAACATTTCATTATTAGTGTATCTTAAATGTCTAAATTAATGTCTGGCACACAGAAACTTCTGTGTGTGTGTATGTGCATGTGAAAGAGAGAGAGAGAGAGAGAAAGAGAAAGAGAAAAGGAGAGAGAGAGAGAATATCAATACTTTACAGAAAATTTCCAGGCAAATAGGTTCTCTGTCCTTAAAACCAAAGAAAACAATTCAGAACACACATCAAGCCACTTAAGAAAAACTCAAAGGGCATCTTTCTACACAGAATTCCAAACATTCATTAACAAATCATGTAACTCTCCACAGCCTTGATTATGCTAAACTCTAAAATCTAGGCAAACGGGAATATGACAGGAAAAGAATGTCAAAGAAATACATAGAAAAGTGTGATACCCTATGGGAGAAATGCTTTCAAATGCATAAACTCATGATCCTGCCTCTTATATGAGATACCCCCAGTTTGACCGTTTATGCACAGAACAAATACAGCATTCCCTACCAGTCCTTCCCCACATTAGGATCTAGTCACAGCACTCATGGAAATGGCTCACCATTTGTCTGTGCTATACAGTTTTCAAAAAGGTTCTATGAACACTTGGTTTCCTCCTTTCTTAGAATTCAAACACTGTGTTCAGAAATAGGGACATGCAACTAGAGGATATCAATCTGTTAAAAATGTAGTGGTTACTTTTTTTTCTTTCTGTGGATGTGTCATTAGCCGGAAATGCAGAAAATCGTATGGACAGAATATAAAGTAGATGGGCTCGCCATGATATGCAGTTAAAATTCTTGATTTTTCCTCCAAAACAATGACTCTATTAGGAATATTAATAAAATACTATGCCCATCCAGATGTAAATATACATTTATTATGGCAATATTATCACATCAACTGACTCCAAAGGTTGGTTCATCTTCAATAAAATTTAAAAAAAAATACACACTTTCTAAAGACCTGTGGACCTAATCCTTATCATATTTTATCTAAGTGTGATGGGAAACAGGGCAGAGGAAGCAAAGAATGTCATGCCACAGGGCAGAGGAAGCAAGAATGTCATGCAACTGAACCTTGTCATAAGTGTATGAGACACAGTCCCTGGATACCCCTAGTCCCAGACATGAGCTCAGTTAACTGGATACAAATTCAGGCTTTCCCGCTTCCGTTGTTTTCATTTGCCATAGCCATTATTAGAGCATGAAAGACTTCAGTCTTGAAAGGGAAATCATTTCATTGTTCACATAGCTTTATAAACAAATTAAGGAAAGGTCAACCACATAGACTTCAGTCCTATGAGCAGATAGCAGGCTGCAAACTGCAGACTTAAGAGTCAAAAGAAACTAGCCATAATTACACATCAATCTGTGTCACGGGCAGAAACTAAAAGCCTCTCATTCTGGTTAGTGTGACTCCCTTTAAATCCTAGGCAGTTAAGTAGGTGCCAAAGTTACAAAGTTGGACAAGTCTTCATGAAGTCCATGGGTTAGTGGCTGGAACACAGAGTTTGAGGGGACTAGCACCTGAAGAAGCTAGCGAGAAGGTCTGAAACACAAATTTCTGTAAAATGGTAGAGAGAATTGGCCATCTGTTACAACGGATTAATGTTTGTTTGTTGGATGACCTTTCAAATGGCCATTTGTTGGACTGAATCTTTCTAACCATAGTTTTGAAAAAAT